AGATACATCGTTCACGTGGACCATGGTTAAAGTGGGTGCTAGCAGTGCTTTGAGTTATGCCACTTGTAGGGCGATTTCCGTCAGTTATTTTGTGGTCCAACTGAACCATCCTCTTTGAACGAGAAAATGTCTCGGATCCTCTTGTGTAGTAAGCCACTGACACAGCACAGCCTGAGGTTTTGAAGAAGAACCTCATGCTGACCCTGTCGAACACTGTAATCAAGGTAATCCATGAATATCTCCTCGACAGGCTTCTCGTGCTTAATACCCACAAGCACACATGCCTGATCATAAGCAAGCTGGTAATGTATAAGTAGTCTAGCCTAAAGCTATGCTGTTAGAGCGTCAGGAATGCTTTTGACTCTAGTATAGTAGCAATCCCTTTCTAATGATATTCTGAGGAACCTCCGCCAAACCAAGTGTCCTACAATTTATCATGTAGTAGTTTAATTGCTATGGACGCCGCCCTGCAGTATAGGTTTTAACAGCCATCATTTCCATTCAATCGGCAACGAATCTTATGCTAGCCACCTATGGATGAGTTTAGGCACACAGGTAAGTGGTTTGTTAAATTTGCTTAGGAAACAATGAGTACAGCAAATCAGTCCTGGCAGGTTTGGTGCCGTCAATACTGGCGAGTATTTGATATAATTCTTCAACCCTGCAATTCAGAATATCGAGTTGGATAAAAGCTTTATATGCTAGATTCGGAACAGGCAAGGTTCATTTGCAAATACATAAGTGAAGTGCGCCACCAACGCGGACGCAAGCTCCTTGCTAGATGTTAGGGTCTCTTCATGTAAGTAAAGATTCGCTTTTTGGCGCTATTCGCGGCGTTTGACTGCTGCTCTTCAAAGTGTCAACGGTAATTCTTTTTTTACTGTTGCACGTTAAGCTGACGTTTTTTACGCTTCGTAGTCATTGGCAGAGCTAACAGTTGGAATCTTTCACAATCCGCCCTGCTTCTTGGCCAGCTTCTATAATCCTTGTCAAACTAATGCAGCTTAATCAGTACAATCATCCGACATTTTAAGAATATAAATTGGGAACACAAAGCCGTCAAATTCGGTTTCTAAATGCTTAACATTTATCCACAGCTACAGCTTGGTAGAGGGACCAATACAGTTGGCCCCCAGTTCGAGCTAGACTGTTGAGTTTTTTCTTCCAGCAGTTGTATGCTGATTCCAGCGGACTGGAATGCGACTCGAATGCAATTCCATATCAGCTAGTAGCACTGACTGCTTGCTTGCAACTAGTTGCTCGAGGATCAGAACGTCAGACACTCGCTATTCGTAGCTTGTTAACATCATGTCAAGACAGGACGGGGTTCGGCGTGGTGTTATGCTTGTTGCGTGGTATATCTGTTTTGGGGGGCAATAGTTTCAAGTGTCACATTCACGAACTTTGCTTCAACCTCACCATGTCAAGGCATCAAATGCACATCAGGCTATCCTGTTCGAGGACAGTTAAAATCGCCCATAGGTAGAAAATTTGGGCGACGCGTATGGGTTCGAGGATCTTGCAGCCAATCCAAACAACTTAAGAGCTGCGATAGACTGCGCCCACAACTTGTTTTTAGCGCCAGTGCTGAATGTAGCACAATGGTATTTCACACGGACCATTGTCACTTCGGTACGTGCTCACAATGCTCCAACGCAGGAAAGACCGGATTTAGAGCAAGACACCACCAGAGCATTTGTTTGTTAATCGCAGCAGCAGCAACAATAACCGTTGAATTCTAATTCCTTTACGTATAACGCTGAATGTAGCTATGTCGCTGCGAGTCCCACTATGTCTGCTTTCTCAGGCGCAAGGAAACAACAAAGCTGATTGCGCTTGTTAATAACACCGCAAATCTTAGTGAATGACACACGCAGGCTGCAGAAGCAACCTCCGGACGCGCCTGAAGTGAGAGTAACCAGTTTATCCTGATCCGCATATTATTGGAAATCACCCGATAATTTATGAAACGGAGATTTGTTTTCCTTCTCCAGTACGTCGTTTCAGATTTATGATGGCATACTGTGGCTGTTCGTTTTCTTCTGGGTCCAGGTCTTGAAAAACATGCTAACCAAAACTTTCAGTCTACTTAGGTGATACAAGATCATTGTTGGGCTGGCTTCGTTTAATTAATGATTCTTTTAGGACCAACTTTTTTGATTATCTTGCTTTCTATGACAGGTAATTTGCCCCGCTTTTACAGAGTCCTCACCAGGGCCGAGGAGTTTGTCAAATAGAATTTGTAAACACTCGTCACCTTGAAAGTCTGGCAATTGGTGTGGTGGATCACTGGATTCCGGCGCGTGGCATATCACTTCGTTAGAACACCTCTGGTAGGACGAGGTTGATCTTGCAGGACGAGCCACACCTGTTTGCTAATTGTTTATATACATTACTTAAACGCTAAATAGCAATTTGTAATATTGTTCTTTATTCTCTCCACTGCTCTTCAGCACTCAGGCTTTCACCTACTGGGACACCAGTATTCGTTGAGCACAACAACGTTAAAAAGGTATGCCAGGTGAAACTGGGCTTTCCAAGACATTTGGAATTCAAGCTAGTGAGTTTATACGGGTAGAGGAGCAAGACCGAGCTGAAACCTGAGGGCTTTCCTGGTTAGCTCGTTTGCAAAAAATGATGACGACATCACGTCGGATTTTCTCTTTCTGGCTGTATCGTGTTTCGGTAATTTTCACATAACGTTTGAACGGAATCGCCTTGGTTTTCACGGGGATGATAGAAATGCTACACTGATAATCCAACGTATGAACGGTGGTCTTTAACTTGGCACAATACACAGGTGGTGCATTTGCACGATATACATATAGGAACAAATACTATACGGAGGATTGCTTCGGCATTTTAAATATTCCGAAAACCATACAGCGAGCAGTTGCTGGAGAAAATGGTAAGAGTTAGATAGCCGAAACCAAGCGTTGAAAACAAAAGTAATTCTGATAAAAAATGCAGAATACCTAATGAAACTGAGTTTTCTCTAAATTTTTACGCAATACTTCCAAGGAACTAAGAAATCCAACCTAAAGTGATATTGTCAACAGTCAAAAACAACCGACTGGATGCCGCTATCCGCAGTTGTACTGCTATGATACAATAACGCAATACCTAAAAGTATACTAGTATTATTACTATCAACTTTATTTATGAAAGTCATGCTTCTTCTGTAAATGCGAGCATATTCAGGCACGGATCATCAAGTGTTCAATTTTGTGACGCCTATTTTCTACTTAGAAAATAGCAGCACACAACAACTATTTTGTATGAGTTTCTAGCAATGTTACTAACTTGCACGTCGTTTTAGGTCTAAACGTACACATCTCTCTGTTAAATCACATTGGGTAAGTTGCTTATATCATATTCGTAATTGCTGTGACAGTTATACGTAGTTCTATCATTTCATTAACGAATTTAAATGGATAAGGAAGTTAGCTATTTTACCTTTCACAAGTTGTGGATATTCATTTTCTTCGTTCTTGTAGGTGAAAGCTAAACAAAAGATAGTGTTTGACACATATTTTTTAATGACCATTTCTTTCTTCAAGCGGATTTGATGAAATAATATTAATCAGATAAATTTAAATGTTCTTACTGAAGTTTTGACTTGTAGATCTAGCATCTGTTGAATAAAACATATTTTTGAATAAAATGAATTTGAATTTCTGTGTTCGAGATAGCAAACATTGCCGTAGGTATTTTCATAGCTTGTACAATATTAACTTACGATTTGTTCCCGAAGGATATTCAATCATTTGAAAACCTATTGGTAAGGGATGCATATCAACATATTTTGAGGTATCCTAGAAGAAATATTTTGCATTGGGTGGAAAGAGCACCTGCACGTGTGAAGGGAACTTGCTGCTTACATTGAGTTCCCTTAGTAAACCACAGCTTTGCTAGAGAAAACACCTAAGAGCTTTGGTGATAAATGCTCACCAACAATAACTCCTGTGTAGCTGGTGCAAGTGCTTCCTTCGCTAATAGATACTACCAATCTACGCAACTTCAAATATTTCCTACAGTTTATAACAGACGTTAACTAAATGAGCCCATGCGATAGAGCCAGCTGATTTTGAGGGAAAAGCATTTTTACCAGTGGTCTTTGGCTCCAGACCGATGAACATTTGTGATTTATAAGAATGTTCCGGATGTAAGTTAGCTGCACTGCTTAAATTATGACAGGTATGATCGTCGATATGTATTGATATTGCTAGTTTGGCTCCATGGACATACCATATCGACATACTGATGAAGTTATTGTAGACGTTTTATTGAACCACATAATAGCAGATTGCTTAATGCCGGAGGTAGAACAATGCTTACCATGCTAAAGGCTTCTACTTTCGTGCAACAATTCTATCTTGACAATATTTCGACGACTTATAAGTAGTGTGCACCTATCAACAGCTGGTGCTGCCCTTAAGTGTTGCACATGATAGTATGAGTGTCTTTTGTAAAGTTGAGCAGCAAAATATCCGGCTTATTCACATTTATAATAAATCTTAAGAAAGAATGAAAAATAAGTTTCTGTCGATCAAAAAACATATAGCTCGGATAGCACTTGCATTCCACCAGGTTCACACGCTCATTGTATGGACAGGCGCATAAGAAAAATTAAATCTGCCGTACGAGACCAGTCAGCTTAAACGCTTTCCAAATATTTTACCTTATACTAACATGGCCTTAGTAACTGAGTATTCTCGGACATTCATTTAGCGATACATTGCTTGGGGTTTCGATCATGTTTGTCTAAGTAAAATACATTCTATGAGCTGTGCATCGGAGATGGTGTTCATATACTTAGAAGACATCTGCAATTAATTCCATCCGCTCAGATCACTAAATGCCCTTTCAATTTCGCATAACCGACTGAACCTCCGAACTGTCACTGCGCCCATTAAAAGTTACGCAGCTTATTGAAATCAATCCCAGTTTCATACATGTAAATAAAGATAGATAGATTGGACAGCCTATTGATATCTAGAATGGAGTCACGAGCCAACATGGGTCCAACGGAAAACAACGCGGCAAATATGACTTTTTCACGCTGCACGTCCACACAGGCAACCAGCATAGTTGGATTGCAGGCAATACTAACGTCGGATCAACGTATTTCAAACAGCACACCGCTAGAAATGCTGTCGAGCATTGTCATAAACTTTCTGCTCAATTTCATTGAAGTTAATGCGCTAAACTTGAAGGAAACGGATATTGTGTACAAGCGCAATTACCAGGAAGAATTTTTTTATTCTAAACGTCTGGAGTAGACTATCGCTCTTAGTTTGCCTTTTTCGTGTTTATATAATACGTAACGTTTAAAGGCGGTCTCAACTTATCCTTACTATAAAATGAGAAGGGTTAAGGAATACATGGACATAACTAACTTGTATTCGTCTAATAATTCTCTTATTAACGTTAGTAGATATGTAGACTGCGGCTAGCGTAACATTACCAAAACGAAAAAAGGAATGCAGCATTCGTCATTATATTTGCTTCAGTGCCTGTGTCATTTACAGGTGTGTCACGACAAAATCGTACGTTTTTGAAAGAAATACTTGGATGTGCTGCATGTTAAGGACACTGCTAAATTTGCACCTGATATATATATTCATTATTACACTATTAAAAACTTTGATGACTTAACTCATTAAAAGAGGTTTTGGTTGGTATCCTGATCGCCATTAAAATATCTAAGGAGTGTGACACCATGAAGGAATTCGGTAATGTATTTAAATAGGAAATACATACTTTCTTCTAGGAACGATTATAAACCTAGTTAAGTCAACACAAATCGAGGTTTTATCGAAAATAACAGCAACTAGTTTAATAAGCTTTGTAGAGCAATACAATAAAGTTTCTCAATGAATCCACAATGGTCAATACGGTTAACAGTCAGAGAGCATTCATATTTGCTCGTTTTGTAATACTGTTTTCCAGCGAATACATTATTGCCATTTCAAATATTACCGCTTGAAAAAAGACGGTAGCTATGACTCTTTTAGGGTCATTGTTTGTTAGTCAATATTTCCGTAGCCACGTATTTCCCCCTTTGAATGATGAAATTTAAATGGTCATCTGTCACGTACATTTGACGTAATGAAATGCAGCTAATTAGATTAATTGCTATCTGTCAAAAATGTAAGCCAAATTTAGGTTGATCGTTTAACCTCGAACAGAGTGAGATGGTTAGCGAAAAATGAAAACATACTAAAATGGTGGATTTTATTAATTTAATAAATGCACCATTCAATTGTAAAATCGATATTCATTTCAATATATGGACAAATTTTCCTGTTAATAACAGGACAGTTTTCCATGAACAACATGGGAATGGTTTATTAAATCATAAAATTACATAACATGCATTCTGTGAACAATGAAACCAAATAACGATATATATAAACGAAATTCACCTGAAAGAAGCATCTTTGATTTGAGCCGTCAAATCAGTTCAGGCTTATCATCCTATGCTAACAGCCAATGATTACTTCCCCTTGAATTTTACCTTGTCAGTTTATTTACCTAAAAGTTTTCTTTTTACTTAAGTGAGATAGATAATTGATTAGTTGTTTAATCGTGAAAGCAAAGCAGGTGTAACCTTTTATCAATAATGGGTCCTGCTTACCGGTTTTATCTTCATCTAATTTTGCTGTGGAATGAAATGATTTAGTTAGTTTTTGGCAAACGAATTTATAAATTGGCTTTCCGGAAAACCCACTAACCTTGGAAAACGCAAATCCTTTGAGAAACAGGTTCTTAAAATGGGTAGGTGTTTTGTTTTAGAAGATTGCAGGATTTTAGTTTTAATATATAAAGCAAATGAAGACTTTTTAAATATATATTCAAAACTAGGTTTGACAACACATTACTAAATAAGCGAAATAAAACATGGCTGCATATTCGTCGTAGAGTTTTGCTAGTCTTTCCGCCATTTAATCGAATGCGGCGATTGTGTTAGCCACTCCAACTTACCTTGCTTCTTCCTGCCACAGGATTTATGCAACGATATATAACAGCAGGAGGTAGTTAGCCTGGTGTTTGAGATCCTCCACCGTAGTGGAAGTCCCATTCTAAAGACCGCCTAGTAAACTGATGCATAATTATATTCTACTCAACTGCCGACGCTTATTCTTTCCCTTACCGGCTACTTTTTCGCATATGATTACACTTGATTTCCCTAAGTATTCCATGAATAATCATAAATGCTCAAGCAACATCAAGTATTTGATCATGTTTGTTTTTCACTGTGTAGATCCTACATTCAATAACCCAGTCCTGTGTTCCTGAGAAGAAAATGTTTTGGGACGCGTTATTTTGTTGCAGCCATTGTGGTTGGGCTAAAAATAAGATTTTTAACTGCTTACTTCTGCACACCATAGGACAAAAATTTGCGCACCTACACTTTCAACAATGTGATAACCGTAGTAAATGTACCTGCTTCTATATTACCTGTGAATTGTGCTGGCGAATATTTAATTGGCAAATTAAGTTCAGCATAGTTGCCACAAATTGACATATTGGCAATAATTTGCCTCAGTCTTTTGCGACTTGTCAATAGCAAGAATAATGCAGCTAAACCGGAACTAAACGTATAATCTACAAGAAGTGTCGTTTAATATAGCTATGATTAGGTGAAAACTGTACATGGCAACAACATACGGCCTGACAAATTGATGGGCACTCTCATTGGATTATTGTTAATTTGTGTACTTTAGAATCTATAGCGTGTACTTTTTAATACATTTACTCATAAATTTTTTATTTACCTGTGGTCATGCAGCCTAGCACTAACGCCTCAAATTAATGTTTCATTCTTAGGGCATAGATTTAAAATCCGTAGCTCTTTAACAAAATATCAGCTTTATTAATTTTCATAAGTTGTATTGTCATTGGCCAATAATCTATGCGATATAGGTTAATCTGTAATCCTTGGTGATCTGGCATGGTTACTGGTTTCTAAATGTAAATGCTCCCGGCCACAATTGGTCAAGAGCGGCAATCCTGTCAAAGTTGAGTGAAGCGCACCTCTTCCGGTTCCTAGTAGGCTAAGACAACCGTCAAGTGCAGTTTCTGACAAGTGGATGATTTCTGAAGTATTGCCACGGCGAAGAAGCTAATCCCTATTTTCTTGCAATTACCCGTCAATGAGCAGCATACTTATTTGTCTTGGCTTATTGCAAGCATTATTAGGGTGATTATTTTTACACCCACACATCAAACATACCGTTCGGCCGTGACAAAATCAACGTTTGTTTTTCCGCATCAGTCAAAGTGTACAAATAGGTGACTCTCCAATTTTGCTTAAATAGGCTGATTCGCATAAAATCAGCATGCACCTTAACCAAGTTGCATTTAACTAACCGAGCAGAAAATATTGGTTTTATGCAATTTAATTTTAAGGAAACAAAAATTAATTGGTATTTTTTAACCCAGCAGTTCTGTTATGATCATGAGCTAAATTGCTTAAGGTTTTACCTTCTTGTCCGCTTTTAAATAATCATCGCTTTACACAACTTTAATTATATGATCAGTGCTTTATCGGCGTGGGTTGCAAGTGTCTCCAAAGTAGGGTGTTGAGACGACATTGGAGATGTAAATATTGCTTTCGCACAGCTTTACCTTACTCTAGACCGATCACTACCATGGTTGAGCTACGTACTAAGGAACATGTATTGGACTATTTAAAGCTTGCGAACATTGTGCCTTAAAATTAAGAAGTATGATATTGTAAGTCATAACGATGATTGGAAAGAAATCCACTCGCTTCTCGAACGTTTTGTTATCCATTTACATGCTTCATCATACTCGGCTTTCACATTTAGATGTATACGCGTAGGGCTGTCAGCAGTATATATTAATTGAAGTGCACTACTCGGAGGTTGGTATAAATAAATAATAGTTAAGCTTATGTGGTATGTGGAGTTGATAATGTAATCGTTTTTCACATGAGGCCAAATCTTATTTTGCCAAGTCAACGTCACATCAGCATAAACCCACCTGGATTGTATATTCTATATACTATAAAATTGGATCAAAAAGGAAGCCGCCTCTTTTATAAACGTGAACAGAAATGGACATCTCATACTTGCATGCTTTATTTTAGTACTTACCCAGGTAGTAGCCTGAAAGTGGCGGTATAATAAATGATAAGAGATAGGGTGGATGCTAACCATACGCAAGCCTTAGGACTAAATGCTAATTAACCTAAATGCAGTAATAAAAACCCCTTGATAGCGTAACGAGTTTGTAAAGCTGCTTTATTGACAAATAACAACGTAAAGAATGAGTCCTTATATTATTACACAAAATCCATAAACAGCTTTTCAAAAATAGATAAAAGTTATTGAGTACTTGTTCATAAAATAAAACAAAAGTTTTGAAGCTGCACGTGTTAGTTTGCTCCTTGAAACCACATAAGCCTATTAGAACAAGCAAACTTATAAGCGATGAAACTTTGTTCCGTATTGCGGCTTAATGTTTAAAAATCGAGTTACAATATAAAGAATAGTTTTGATTATGTATTAATATCCGTATTTAGTCGCTAATTTTTGTTGACTTTAAGAAAATAAGGCCATCTGGACAAAGCACTGTAAACGTTCGCGTGGGACTGGAACGGTAGGAGCATCCCGTGTTTGTTCCATCTTGAGTGGATCATTGAGCCGGTAATAGATGCATGGCACAGATTTCTTGATAGATCTAAAACGAAACACTCATATCGCACTCTGGCCAATCAGTTAATGTCCACATTTCCCGACCTAGCAATCCCCGCTGTGGCAGTCAATTGAAGTAGTCAAAAGATGAGAGGCCAAATTAACGGTAGAGTATAAGGAAGTTCACTTGCAATAATGAAGATAATACCAATGCATGGAGAAATGCAAAGGGAACAAAACGGGTGTATGAAGACGTGATTTACTTTAGGAAGGGGATAGCTTTCAGGTTGTTATCCAAGAGAGTCGAGTTGCCGTTCAAACAACCTAATCGTAGATTCCCTGCTAACACATAGGTAGCATGTTCCAGCGTTCGATGCCTCGGCAGGACAGCTGGATTTCTGTCCTAACCCAATCGGATCGCGGTTTGTTCAGCGTCACAGAATGACCGCGCAGAACAGACAAGCGGGATTGAATAGCTGAGGATAATCTGGACTAATCAAAGCAATTAAGATACGATAGGTTAGGATTAGGTCTCCTCTTAGCCTTTGGTAATACATTGAGCGCATTCCCAAATTTATTAGACGCCCTGGGTACATCTGTTTCGGTAATGTCTCAGT